AACCTGAAGATCAGCAGGGAGGAGCAGAATCCCCTTTAGCTTTACTCATGATAGTCTACGAGTGGTGGCCCATAATAATAATAATAAGGTAATACCATCCAGAAGATGCCTAGATGGTCTTATGGAACACCCTATTTCGATAGAGCCTGTTGCAACCTGTAGTAATTATAATGAAAAATGGTTGCTAGTGTGGAATTGAAAAGAGAAAGCATACCTGCCTGGGCAACACTTGCCACAGAGTGGGATCCAGTGAAAAATAAAGAGACCTTGGAAATATAAGAGTATAAGAGTGAGGAAAATACTCATCTCTGGTTAAAATCTAACAGATGTGGTCAAAATAGCTACAGGGGGTAGTCCAAAACCCACAGAAGAGGAAACTGCTAGATCATGTAAGTAATAAGATAGGAAAGTATTAGGAGTAGACCACATACTAGCCTGCACAATGTCTTCCAGAGGACAATTCAACTGGGTGGTTAATGACATAGAGATATCACAAATCTGGTGAGATGTGACACACAAAAGATTCCTCTCCTGTAGCAATAATGCATTATAGGCCATGTGAATCAATTTACGAAGACACCTTGCTAGGGTAATGGGAGATAAATAATGGGAAATGAAGGATTCTACTGAGTGAACAATCAATTCCTACTACCTTGAGATGAGTTAGTACGAGCCACATAACACTTGAGGGGCCTAACAGGACATTATAAACTATTAGGATTGGAGCAGTCATAAAGGTAAGAAATGGCTGGCAAATGGATTGGTGAGAAGGATCTTTTGCTTTCCCTGGCTGCCAGAGTCTTGGGATGAAAATACCTATCGGTGTAAACCAGGACAAATGTGGAATGATAAGAGTCCGATGCACATGGATTGCAAACAACTCTGACCGACGATGTCCACAAGCCAACAACAACAAAAAATACAATTTTATGAGAAAGGTGAAGCAGAGAACATGAAGCTAAGGGCTCAAAGGGATGATGAGACAATGCATGTAAAACAACTGTAAAATCCCAATTCGGTAATTGAAAAAGTCATTTGGGTTGAAGAATATAAAAGTACTTGAGTAGACCTGATAATACTGAGGATTCAAAACCCTTTCGATATTTGGAATACCAAAATATAGTGAATAAGGATGCCTTATATAAAACCACCTTAGACAAAACAAGACCCCTCTCAAATATACAAGTCATAAAATGGGATATGGTAGATACTTTACGATGAAGAAGATTTAAATTCCTTTTAATACACCACTAATGATAAGCATTCCATTTTCATTGATAAATGGCCATGGTTGGCCTCTGGAGAGATTTAGTTAAATACAGAGAAACCTTAGAAGTTAAACCCTTATGTTGAGCAAAGGACCACCTAACTTCCAAGCATGAAGATTGAGTTATCGAACATCTGGGTGTGGAATGTCTGATCGAGGCTGTCTCAACAGAGACGGCCAATGTGGAAAAGGTAAAGGTGGACAGGATGTACAGATAATGGTGGAGGTGATGTAAATTGAATGCCCAACACTGAAGCCAGAATACGGAGTACCCATGGATCCCTGGTGAAAGAACTCCACTGCTCCCCCGCCCACGGAATAGTCACTGACACCGTAGCCAACGGTGTGCCTGAGCCAAAGATCCTTGAGAATATGGACGGACTCTATTATGGGAACCAACAGACCTGGAAACCGATAGAGAGGGTTGGGAAACACTACAAGCCGACACTCCCAAATTAACACCAGAAAGGCAAGAAGCCAATGATGATAAAGAAAAATGTAAATGAGCTGAATCAATTCATGATTCTAACATCTCTGGAACTCCATCAATCAATATGGGATGGAGAAAAGGAGCTTCCCATAACTCCCTGAGGGCAGAAAACAGTAAACAAATACTTTCTAACAGAGCATCTCTACCCAATAAATCCCAACAAAAACCAGCCAGAAAACCAGAGAAAGAACTAAAGAAGACAATCTGACTGATGTAGATGTCAGCAAGATCCTCAAATTGCTGAGGGGAATGTTGATAAGCTTCCGACAAAAGTTGGATTGAAGATAAATACCTCAGGACAGTCGTGAGAGTAAGATGAATCCGAGAAAACTGTGATCTGTTTAAAGTGATCACAGGTTCCAATCTAGACCCCCAAAGGTCCAAAAGGGTGTCCATCTGTTGAGAATCTAAATATACCTCCTCTTGGCAGTGATAAGCCAAAGCAAATCTCCCAGCATGAACAGCAATATCAAGAGGAGGAGGAAAAACCAAGTAGTCACTTGCTGTCCTTTCTGCCAACAAGGAAGGAGTAAAGTCAAATGCAATAAAAGAGACCCCCAAAACCTCACAAACTTGAGTAACCAACTGAAGAATGGGGGTTTGAGGTGGCTGATCAAGATGCTCTTTTGTTGAGGCTGACCTAGTAAAAAAAAGGAGATGGAAAAAGTGAGTCTAAATCCTTCCCAGCTGGTCCTGGTTCATTTGCAAAAGCCACCTCAGAACCCCCTGGAGAGACACCATCAGTCCGCATACATGTCTCCATCTCAGAATGGATCATATCAGAGACATTTTCGACTGAGAGTGACCCCTCCCCTGGCTGTTGACAAACACCAAATAGCAGAGGTAGAAGAGAAGAGGTCTGATTGGCCTCCATAGAAGAAACATTAACTCGGGAAATAATACCTGTCAGTACGTATTATTATCTTTATTTTTTGTTAAAGTAATTTATAAATATAAACAAAGATATAACTGTAGTAACACCAACCATGTTCAAAGACACAATATAAACTGTGAATAATCACAACACTCCTGTTTACAGAAACCCATGATGAATGAATGCCTTGTCAAGAAAAAGAGATTACATTATCTGAATGAGGTGCTTACATACAGTACTTAGATAGAGAGCGTACTGAAGTTGGTGGAGAATTTTGCAAATTCGAATTTACCAAGGACAACTGAGTGGGGTATAAAAGATTGGAGCAAGTGTTTTCAATGCTTAGATGGGAAAAAGAGTGGAAACCCTGGAGATAGAGAAATAGCTTTTGTGTCAGTGCAGGTAAGCATATTTTGGAAAGGCCTAAGCCCTCACTGTATTTTATCACAGTGGCAGTCATCCTTCTACTTCGCCCATTGCACTACAGCTTGTGTTGAATAGAACTAGTTCATTTTGGAAATGGTAAGTTTTAAAACTGAAGATATCCACGATTGTGAAGTTAATAAATTTTCTATCACAAATTCTAGTTCATAGAAAAAAAAAAGATCCAAGAAGAGGCTAAGGTACGTATTTATCTTTCACAAATTATCAATAATTCTTTCTGGTGTTTGTTATCACGTCATTTATAACTGACAGAAAGACAAAGTTCTAGTTTACCAAATGGCATATAATGCTCTCAGTACAGATTTTGTTGTTTTGCCTACAAATTCAATGTTGGTATTGCAGTCATTCTGGAAGGAAAAATGGGTAATTTAGATTTATTTAGTATTTTTTTGTGATGATTAAAAGGTCAGTCAAATTGACTACGTTCCTGTAGTATTAGGGTAGAGAAAATTTTGAAATATAGCTTTTCTGAAAAAAAAAAAAATTTAATATTCATTTAATGGGTCCTACATTTTATGTAAATAAAATATGAAAAAAAAAATTTTCATTCTTAATTTGAAAATAACCTTGCACCCAGACTATTCAGAATCACACTTGACTATATATTCACATAAAACTTTTTAGTAAAAATATTTAATTAAAACGCGACAAGTATTTTCTGTGTACAAAAGTCTTGTAATGTTTACTAAAGGTTTTCCAAATGTTGTGAAGATACGCTTAAGATATTAAAAGTTATGTGTACTTTTGTGGTTACATAGCGGTTGCAAGGTTGGCTAAAATAACTGAACCTATATACAATTAATCCATTTGTTTTAAAATAATTTATTTTAAATTGCAATATAGCCCTTTACTGTGACAGCAATGTTATATTTCCTGTGTGGAATGTTTTTTGTTGTTGTTATAATTTTGCAGTGTTTAATACATAGTTTCAAAGCCACTAAAAGTTTTTTTAATCTCGTAGTAGAAACCACTGTTTAGTGACACCATGTTCACCGATTTCTAGCTTGTTCTACATTTTCAGGCATACTTCTCTCAGTTACATAAACTAATTGTCTTGATATACATACATGCAGAGAAAACTTTATAAGCATCCAGTGTATAAAACTTGGTGCTTCATGACATTCACTGCTTTGATGTTTCTTGGATGATACAGAGAAAATCCTTCTGTACAGTTTAAAGCAAAGATGTTTCTTTTCCAAACTTATCATGGCTAAACAGCAACATACAGCTACAAAATTAAAGCAATGAATGAAGTACAGAAAAGCTGCAACAGCAAGTTATATGTGTATAGATATATGGTAGTCACATGAACTTTGTCATATGATCTACACAATACATAACCACAACAAAACTTAGAGATTCCCCTGAAATGCATTATATGCATAGCTGCAGCAGCTACACCTCTGCATGGATATAGGGGATAAAGGTAACTATGTGATGTATACATATAGAGATACAACATCAAAGTGTATAAAATGACATAGGCTCCTTTAGCACAATGCAATGAAATGATTAAGCAAACCTTGGTGAAAAAAGGCATACATTGTGTAAAGAAACAATACAACAAAAATTTAAAATTGTTAAAAGAAAATTAACAAATTTATGTGAAATCCTTTCACATTTACATTTAACAAATACTGCTTACTACATTTATACTGTCAGTGCATATTGCACCTTCCCAACGACGTGAACAGAAGTCCTGACAACAGACAAAATGCACTATTAGAGCAATTCAACGAGAAAGAGGGGGAGGAAACTGAAACTCCACGTCCATTTGTATGAAACTTGGTGCACAGTTTGACAACATACAAATAGCAAACAATACGTATATATTAATCTAAATATATCCTAACCTAACAAATTGATATGCAAAACAGATATTGCTCAAAAATGTAATAAAATGATAAGAATGCTAATAGACTTACCATGCTTTCTTTCATGAGTAGGTAGCAATATTTATTAAACATTCTTCTACTTTTTTCAAGAAGGTGTGTTGAGACTCTATCAAACATGCTGTCAACTATAAAAAAATAATATATATATATATATTTATATACACACACAAAACATATCAAATTTGCTGTAATGAACATTCTGGTACAGAATAAAAACTACATTATTCATTGACCAAGAATTAAAATTACAAAGCCTCTTTCTGTAGGATTTAGGTTTTTATATTACAAAAAAAAATGTTTCCTTTATCAAAGAAAGAACATTCCTGAATTGGCTTAAAAACTCTGAAATAAAAACCAGCTAAGAAGTTCACATCCAGTTTTCATTATTTTGATATTTCAAACCATTTGTAATTAATTACTTTCTTTTAGTGTATAAATAATTTGAAAAAATTATTACAAATTACAACCAAGATCATGAGGCTGGCTGCCTGAAGTCTCATGAAGTTCCAACAAATAACACCTCATATTGTTAAGTGTAACTGGATTACCAAAATACTACAAAATTATTTAAAATATGTAATTGCTTTCTAAAAATCCAATGGAATCCATAAACTGGCTTTCAGCCCTATGCATATGGGGAGTTAAAATGTGCATGTTGCAATCTTTTTGCAGTTACCTTCAATATTTAATTAAACAATTTTATTGTCAATGTATGTCAATACATTTCACATTAAAGTGTAATTTATAATTTAAATTTTAACATTTTTTAAGTTTTAATTTCAAACTACACATACCAAAAAGAAATAATACAAAAACTGAGCCAACAACCTTCTTGACTTGCTGAGATATCAATAAATTTGTAAAACACACCAGGAAAACCTCTCCCATCTTTTCATGCATTTCAAGTCAATTATTCACTCATGCCCAATTTTCTGATTTCATATTTATAACAAACAATAAGAGTATATTGTAATGTACAGGAATCTTAATTTTGTTTAGTTCTGGTGGTCAAAAACAATAGTTTGCAAGAAAAGTAAAATAGTTGCTCCTAGCAGCAATGGAAGTTTTAACATATTTATAACTTAATTAGAATACCAGGTAAATTAAAGCAGTTTTGGACATTCTATTGTAGTGCCCAATACATTTTTTCTCTTCTAAAATGTATATTTGAAAGCTATATGAATTATTGTTTGAACAATCAACAGTGAGAAAAAAGTAGGGTTACTGAAGCATGACATCGGAGTACAAATGACTCAAGCTGAAGTAAGTGCTAAATTTATTGGTTAATATGTATATTTATTTATTCTCATATATTTCTCAAGAGAAGTAACTTAAATTTAAAAATTACAAACTTCTTTGGCTGGATAGCAAAACTTAACTGAAAAAAAAAAATTATATAAAAAAACAATCATGAGATAAGAGTATGGGCAAGCTCGCAATATGTACTTCATGTGACTTTAACCCGAACATTTGTTCACCTTAAGCTATACTTGAAATATCCCACAGTAATTTATTACATTTCACATAGAAGGGATCCAAAATAGTCATAAAATCATAAAATTAAAAGAAAGCAGATGTGAAAAGATTTAAAGCTGAAGCTATTATGACAAATAACTTTATCTATTACAATCTGCAGTCATTCTAGGAAAAAAGGGTATTATTGATTTTATTTCATATTTTTCAACTCTGCATTTCACTGTACATAAATGATTTTACTGCAGTTAGTGTTAGGGTAGAGAAAATAAAATAAAAAGTAAATAATTTTACTTAAAAAACCTGTTGATACTCATTTAGGAGGTTCTAGCAGTTATGGAAATGAAATATAAAACTGTAAATAATTATTTTTATTCTTACCATGAAAATCACATTTCACTCGTGCTGACTCAGTAAAGGCATTGTAAATTCATACACAAATCTTTAGTTATATATCTTATTAAAACAATCTAATCTTTTGTTTACAAAACACTTGTAATATATAGTAATAATCTGTGAAGATACAATTAGTATATTAATGATATAGTGTATAGTTTCATGATCATATGGTAATTATAAGGTCAGTCAAATTGACTAAACTCATATGCATAGGGTTAAATGGAAAGTAAGAAGTTTTTAATAGCAAAGATATCATTTATTATATCATTAGTACTTTAAATATTTAAAATAAAAATAAATACTTATCTGTGCATACCCATAACTCTCTTGCAACAGGTTCGGTCAATTCAACCAAAATCTTGACCCCCAAATTGACTTTTAGAGTTTCCATATTATAACATCTAATATGTTTTATGTATCTTCATG